CCTCACTGATAACCCTCTAAATGATCTCCATTTCTATGATTCTGTTCCTGTTCTGGTGGTTTGCTTAGTTTTTTTAGATTCACTTGTTGATAGTTGTGAATTTGTTGCCCTTTTAATGTTCATAGTTTTGATCTTCTTTTTCTTAAATGTCCCTTTAACATTTCAAGTAATAATGGCTTGGTGATGATGAACTCCTTTAGCTTTACCTTGTCTAGAAAGCACTTTATCTGCCCTTCCACAAGAGCTTTGGTTGATAGAGTAATCTTTTCATCACTTTGAATAATTCTTGCCAGTCCCTTCTGCCTGCAAAGGTTTTTTGAAAAATCAGCTGACAGTTTTATGGGAATGCCTTGTATGTAACTCTCTGCTTTTTTCTTGTTGCTTTTAAGATTCTCTCTTTGTTTTTAACCTTTGGCATTTTAATTTTGATGTGTCTTGGTGTGGTTCCCTTTGGGTCCAACTTGTTTAGGACACTCTGTGCTTTGTGTGCTTGTGTGTCTATTTCTTTCACCAAGTTAGGGAAGTCTTCCTCCATTATTTTTTTAAGTGTTTAAATTTCTTGCTCTTCCTCTTCTCCTTCTGGCACCCCTATGATTCAGATGTTGGTATATTTGGAGATGTCCCAGAGGCACCTTTTGCTATCTGTATTTTTTTTTTATTCTTTTTTTTTTCCCTTGCTGTTCTGGCTGAATGCTTATTTCTTCTGTACGTTCCAAATCGTTGATTTGAATCCTGGCTTCTTCCCCTCCACTATTGGTTCCTTGTAGAGTTTTCTTTATTTCACTTAGTGTAACCTTCATTTCTTCCTGGGTCTTTTTGATGCTGTTGCTGTACTCACTGAGTTCTTTGAGCATCTTGATCACCAGTGTTTTGAACTCTGTATCTGAGAGGTTGGTTCCCTCCATTTCGGTTTGTTCTTTTTCTGGCGCTCTGTTCTGTTCTTTCATTTGAGCCATGTTTCTTTGTCTCCTCAATATGGCAGCTTCCCTGTGTTTGCTTCTGTATATTAGGTACAGCTGCTTTGACTCTCTGTCTTAGTAGCATGGCCTATTGTAGAAAAGGCACCTGTAAATTGTGTGGGGTGAAGCCTTAGGTAATCAGTAGGGCAGGGTAGCCCACTTCACTGCTTTGTGGCTTTATGTGCGGGGAGGGTTCAGAGAGGGGACAGTGCCACTGCCTGGCTTCTGGAGGTGTTGCCAGGCACTCTGTGTGACCGGCACCCTTCTAGCTGTTCCCAGAGTGGGTGGATTTGTGTATGTTCTAAGTCCATTTGGGCCCTTTAATTGGAGTCTCCTGAAAATCTGGCAGTTTCTTCTGCTGCTCCAGCCCCCACTCGTTTTTATAGCCAGAAGTTGTGGAGATTTATCTTCCTGGTGCTAGAACCCTGAGCCGTGTGGCCTGGCCTGGGGCTGGGAGTGCTCACTCCCAAGGTATCTCTCCTGATTTTTATCCACCACATGTGAGCATAGGACCACCTGTTTTGCCACTGCAGCCTCTCCACGGCACACCGCATCCCTGCCTCTCCCTGCCCATCTGGATGAATGAGGCTTCTTTAAATCCTTGGTTGTTGGACTCCATACAGCGCAATTTTTCTGATGGTTCTGCGTGTTACTTGTTTTGAGGTCTAGCTGTAATTATTTCTGTGGTTGCACAAGGAGGCGAAATATGTTTACCTGCACCTCCATCTTGACCGGAAGTAGCATTATCCTGCCTTTTTTTGGTCTTAAACGTCTTATTCAGCTCTCTCTCTGATGATCTCTTCTTTCTCTTTTGCATATCCAAATCGATCTTGATGCAGCTTTCCCTTAAGCCCTCAGCGAATCTCTTTTCCACACTCTACTTTTACTCAGTACCATATAATTGAGTACTTATGTGCTATTTTTTCTCTTTTTCTGTACATGTGTTAGTCTTTTCTATCTACCTAATGATAAGCTCCTTGATTGTACAGATCATATTTCACAATACTTTCTCTGGCTTTCATAGCAGTTAGCACCTGATAGAATTATATGCAGTACCAGGTTTCCCCCTTCCGCTCCGTGTCTTCAGCATACATCTTGCCAAACTCCGAGGCATGACACCCCACTGGTGCATGAGCAAAGCTACACAAACCGGAGCTGCATGTCTTTCTGCTCTGTAGCTATCTCCTTCATCAGGTAAATAAAAACATATATAGCAGGTTTGTGTGTATACATGTGGTCTTTTTTTTCTAATCCCAAACATGTTTGTGAATTATACACAGTACTACACGTGTATATATTAAAATAAAGAAACTCCTAATAATATAGTAAGTGAAAAAGTTTATATTAATACTGTTTATGTATAAAATCTGGAAGGATATGCATCCCTCCCTCCAAAACAACCAAACAATATAAACTGCTTCCTCATATTTCCATAAAATTGTACAGTGTATCAAGACCATTCAACTTAATTAGTTTTGTGACGTAAATAAAGGATTTCTTGTATACTTGAAAGTTAAAGTAGGGCTAAATGAGAGAATTTATATGTTAAAAGTCTCTTCTTTTACTACTAAACATTGGTTTTCTCTGTTTTAGGTATTTTGGTAGACAGTTGGGGTATGGGGGTTTATTCTAAAATGTAGCCTGCACATCTTTCCTTAATTGCAAATGGTGCTTGTGGTGATCATAAAGGTATGGGTTTAGACAGTGGTATTAGCACAGAGATAGACAATTGGACTGATGGGGAAGAGCAGAGAGCCCCAAAACAAAAACACTAGTTTATCCGGTAACCCCAGTGGAAGGGATTGGCCCTGAGTGTATCACCTGGGGGCTGGTAATGATGCATGAGGGTTCTTTGTGCTCTTCTCCACTTTTGTGTGTGTTTGAAACCTTCCACCGTAAAAATATTTTAAAGACATAACTTAATAAATAGAGATACCTTTCACAAAAGTGATAAAATGACCTTTATGGAAAAAGTTGTAAAATTAATTTAGTGGCAATATTTTGAACATAAATGGAAAAGGATACTATTGACATAAAAATTATTTTTAAAAAGTTAATTCCCAAAGTGGATATTTGACTTATTCAGTCCTTATTAGAAGTCTACGATTAGGGTTTGTTTTTAGACTTTCGATAAGCTAATTTTAAAATTCATATGCAAGCACCAGGGACCAAGAATAGCCAGGGCAGTCCTGGAAAAGAAGAAACATGACAGACTTATTAATAAAGCTAATTAACAGAATGTTAATAAGGAAATAGAAAAGCAGACCTGTGGGGTATAACAAAGAGCTGAGACACAAACATAAGGGAAAATTGATGACTGCAGTGGTAGTTCTATCATGTTAGCCAGAAAGATATTTTTAAAAATCAGATAGAATTTGTTTTTGATTATATTAAGGAGGTAAGTTTGAAAGCCAATGCTATAGATCTTTAAAAAGACTGCATTATTGTATGGGTGAATTGCTTTAAAAAGATATTAAAAGCATTAAACATAATGATTAAGATTGATATGTTTGATAAGTACTCAAAAAAAAATCAGTAAGAATGAGAAGACAAGTCACAGAGTGGGATAAGAAGTGCTCCACGTTGTAATCAATAAATAAGATTATTGTTCCTTTATAAAACAATTGTCTTTGGCAGTGTAACTCTCACGAGACTTGGTTGACTCTTTATCTGTTTGGTCCAGGTTAGCCTCCAAGAACCAATGGCCATACCCATGATATTTTGAGACCTCTCTCTCTCTCTCTTTCTGTCTCCTCCCCCCCTCTCCTCCCCCCCTCTCTCATAGACTTTATTTATTATGGTTACCTTGAGCTTATCAGAATTCCACAAGACAACAAAATCCTTAGGTTCATTTCCCTGATCTGTTTTGTCCTACTGAAAGGATATATTTGGAGCCTTTCTCCTTATGTTTATTCACAGGTTTTTATGAAGAGGTTTCCTGAGGATGAGACACAGTCTTAAGCTAACATTTCTCAAATTATATTTTTTACACTTAAGCGTTAGAAACTGTTATATATTTCAAGTTCTGTAATTTGGGGATTTTCTCTTAGTTCATCTCTTGTATTTTGTTAAGTACAGTTAGTAGCATACTGTCTCTTCTTCCTTTGAATCCACAAGTTCATTAATCACATTATCTGCTTTCCAAGTTACTGCCGGCAAATGCAGCCCGGCCGCCGTGTTATGTGTCATCATTTTTCCAGTCTTCAGTAACTGTGACTTGCCACTCAGTCCCCATGCCAGTCTCACATATGTAATGTGTTTGTTATGGCAGTAACCCCCTCCTGGTACCAGGCTTTCTCCTGGTTTTCCCTAAGTAAGGCTGTGGTAAGCACTCCACAATTTCAGTGCCTCCCTACAGTAGAGATTTCTAGCTCCCATGTCACCCATGGTTGTCTGCCATTCTGAGGCTCCGTGAAATGTGTCTTACATAAGCAGCCCTATCCTGGTCTTAGGTCAGAGGGAAAAGTGAAAATGCTGACCCATGTAATACCTCTCAAATCTGCTTCTCAGACGTGGTGTAGATAATTTACAATTCTATTTCTTTGGCCTAAGCAAGTTATATGGCCAGTCCCAGTGTCTGCGTGGTGGGGAAGTGTTGTGTCTTAGGGACGTGCTATAGCCATCAGGCTCAAGGAGAGGTGGCTATCTGTTCACCTATAGGAAGGGCGGGGGTAGAATTGTTAAGGACAATACCACCTGTGCATTCATTTTTCAAAGTGCTGAATTCTTAGCTGAAGGTAAACTGTTGGAAGTTATCGCTGTATAAGTGAGCATGAGTAAGATCCTCAGGACAGGGAAGAGAGTGCCAGAAACCTCATGGGAGACTAGGAATGAGCTGGCAAAGGTAGAGGAAGAACAGAAAAGAGCGTGCCCTGGACCCTTGTTATAGAGCTCTTTTGCTCCAAAAATGGTAACTTTTTTTTAAAGAAAGAAAGCCTGAATACAAATGCTTTCAATCTGTCCAGTTTGTACCACCAGAAGACGTAGTTTCCAAATAGCATGAGAGATTTAAAATTAATGTATGTGTGTTTGCTCTTACAGAGATTTGCCACAGTACGGGCAGAAGCAGTGGCAGTCCTATTTTGGAAGAACTTTTGATGTTTACACCAAACTCTGGAAGTTCCAGCAGCAGCATCGGTAAAGGAATTTTATAGTTAAAGGAGAGTGAAGCTCCATGTTCTGTGAATCACAGTCTTGACCTTTACTACCTTGGTGCTTTTTATTTCTGGGTACATCTTAATATATTTTATCTGCATGGCCCAAATGAAAACAAATTGATTTTTTTATTGCTTACTTAAGGTTTTAAAATGTAATGCTCTTATTGGATTTTTAAAGACTATAAATATCTGAAATGGTTCAGATTAAGTCTAACATAGCTTGTATTGATTCATGGTTTCCTTCTAGAATAGGTGTTGTTTATTGGCCAAAACTATTTGGGGGTGTTGCTTCTAATATTCATGAATGTAGCTCAAAGAAGTTTCTTTTTATATTTCAACTTACTTTAAATAGACATTTTAGAAATGCTCTTTGAATTTAATTGAATGATTATGTTGAAAACTCATGAAAAATTCATGAATTTGAATTCCTGAATTTAAAATTTCATGCTGAATTGGGTGTTATTTTATCCTGTTAAGTTTACAGATTTGGTTATTTTTGAAATTTATAGTCTCTTATTTCTATTTTCTTATTTTCTATATAAAACAGACAAGTCTTGGATAATCGGTATGGCTTGAAGCGGTGGCAAATAGGGGAAATTGCTTCTAAGATTGGGCAGCTATACTACCATTATTAGTAAGTGAATCGCATATGGAAAAAATCAAGCTTTGTCCTGATTTACGCACAGCATGCAGAAGTATGCATGATGTACTTATTTGATTGGAGGGAAAACTAAGGAGTTACAAACGGAACCTTTATAATTTAGATCATATTGTTCAAGACAGCATTATGAAATGACCTTCCATAATCAAAGTAACATTATTTGCTTCAAAGGCTCACCTTCCAAACAGTTCATTTGGTCAGACTCATTTATAACTTAAAGGAGTATGATCTTGGTACTAGATAAGTGAGTTTGTATTCTTAATGGCTTCACTCAAATCTCAATACTCTGCAGGGACATACCATAAATTTGTATGTTTGAATAAGTGGTTTTCAGGAGGATATTTTACAACTCATACTTGTTGGATATGTCTAAAAGGGTTACATGGAGTAGATAAGGATAATTCTGATTAAATCCTTAGAGCAACAGCATCTGTATAGTCCCACTCAGGAGTCAAGGAAAGAAGAGAACTCCTTTAGGACTCTAAATCTCATTATCCTGAAACGACATCAGGTGTCCCATAAAAAGGCTTGGATCCCGATAGGCCAGAAATACCTTCCTCTTCCTGTTCTTTGGCTTGTCACCCAAAATTTCCACCATTAAAATCACTCTCTTGGATAGCGTGTTTTCTTAAGAAGTCCTCTGTAAAACTAGAGATGTTTTTTAAAATATTTTCATTAATTTATTTTTTAATTTTTCAATTACAGTTTTCCTTCAGTAATATTTTGTATTGGTTTTAGGTGTACGGCCTAGTGATTAGACAATCGTATACTTACAAAGCATTCCGTCTGATATTTCCAGTACCCACCTGGTGCCACACATAGTCACTACAGTATTATTGACCACATTTCTATGCTGTACTTCACGTCCCCATGACTACTCTGTAGCTATCAATTTGTACTTCTTAATCAGTCCCTTCACCTCTTTGACCCAGTTCTTTAAACAAAGAACCTAATTTATCAGCATCCTCTGGAAATTAATATGGATTAGTCCATTTCTGACTCCAGTGAGAAAAAAGAATGAAAGAAATGAGTCAAAAGACAAGCAACTCTGTGTGGATTTGGGAGAGGTCATGAAGGGTCTGTCCCAGGTGGAAAGTTTTACTTGGTGGAATGCTGTTTGGAGAGTCCCTTCGAAGAATGAGAATAATGTGTACTTTGGATTGCCATCCAAAAGGCTTGGGAGCAGTGGGGAGGTATTTTTTAATTATCGTTATTACTATTTTTGCACATTTTAGGGGTGATATGAATATTGCTTTGCTGATCAAATTTAGGACAGCCATTCCCTTCCCCTCATGTAGAGGAATAGAGGGATAATGGAACAAGTATTGATCATGGTGGAGAATTTGAGAGAGTGTCCAATTGAAAGATTTTTTTTTTCCTCATAGCTTACGCACATCTGAGACCAGCTATCTGAATGAGGCTTTCTCCTTCTATTCTGCAATCAGACAGAGATCATATTATTCTCAAGTCAATAAAGAGGACAGGTATGCACCTCGTATGTTTTTTGAGACAAGAAAGTAAAACACTTAACATTTTTAGTTTGTGTGCAAATAATGCAGAAACATACATTTGTTTATAACTTATATTCATTTAATGGGTCTTACGGAGTGCCTACTATGTGCTAGGGCTTCTTAAGCATACAGATATGTTACCTAAGAGCTATAAATATTACAGATGTTGTAACAGATGTCGCAGTACCAGCGTAGAGCCAGAGCACAGAGGAGGGATGGCTCACTTCTGTATAAGAGCTTGGGGTCACAGAGTTTCATTGAAAAGAAACAACTCCAGCCCTGGCTGGTGTGGCTCAGTGGATTGAGCGCCGGACTATAAACCACAGGGTTGCTGGTTTGATTCCCAGTCAGGGCACATGCCTGGGTTGTAGGCCAGGTCCCCAGTAAGGGGCATGCGAGAGGCAACCACACACTGATATTTCTCTCTCTCTCTTCCTCCCTTCCTTCCCCTCTCTCTGAAAATAATTAAGTAAAATATAAAAAAAGAAAAGAAACAACTCCAGAGTGAGCCTTTGCTAATAACCTTGGTTCTTTTTAGCCCCAGTACTCTGAATTCATATACATTCAAAGGCCTGTTGACAGCATCCATGGAGGACGAAAGAAAAGGCGCTAAGCTGTTGGATTTTATTTTATAAACCCAAATACTGTTATGCAAGTGTTAGGGAAAAAAAATCTGGTGGAACTTATTAATTCCCAACAGTAATCTTTTGAGCACTTACATATGTGGCAGTGTGGTCAGTACTTGGCTGGGAAAAGAAAAAAGAAAAGAAGGTGTACAAGTGTTTCAAACAGTTGTCTTCTCATGGGAGTTACAGGCACCTTTGCGGTGCAAGTAGATGGCGATGTTGTTAATTCCAGATGAGGGTGGGGTTGTGGAAGAAATCAGGGGTCTGCTGGAGAATCTTTATTGCTAGCATTCTAAGAATTGGTGGAAGAGAAAGTTCAGGACTAGAAGATGTGAATGTTCTCTCTACCACCAACTCCCAGAGCTCACAGTTGTTATATAGTGAAAAGAATATATTTTCTTAGCACTAGAAAAAAACACAGTTTTGACCTGTTTTTCAAGAGAACACTCTGTGGTTGGCTGTCGTAAGCTTTCCAGCTCTACAGCAACATTTTTTGGAAAGCCCCGCTCTTGTAAATCCCCTTCATGCCCTTGCGAGTCTTGTTCGAACTTGTCTGAAGGAGTTTGTTTGGTGCGAGTGAGGTATGTAGATGCTGAAGTCTTTGTGTCCTTGCCTTATTTCATTCTTCTATCAAGAGTTCCATCCGTTACTTTTCCTTTAGACTTAATGATTTGCTTTACTCAGATTCACTACAGATATATTTCCTTCAACTCCCCCTTTTTTGCATTTATGTTGTACAATTTGTCTTGATTCTTAGAGATAAATTTATCTCTAAGGACATGCAAAATGTAACATTTTATCAGCAAAAAACTATTTTAAGCTTTTCTAATTTGTCAAAAGGAAAATTGGCTTTAAGCCCCTTGGCTTAAAACCCAACAGTTGGATTTGTGGAAATCCTTTCCTACCCTAACAGCGAATGCCGCTCGTTAACCGCTTTCCATGCCGCCTCCTCCACCAGGGCAGGCGTGCAGGGGTAGGATCACTTGGAACCACAAAGTCAAAATCCCTTGCCTTAAAGGCACTAAATTAGAATCAAGGGGCAATCTGAAATTTTGACCTTGTTCTCTGGGAGGACTTTGTTCAGTTGCTGCATTGTTTGTTTCTCAGTAGGGCAAGGGGGCCAGTCAGGGTAGCAATGGGCGACAGCTCCTATAGTCAACAGCCAGTAGATTCAAACTAAATAAGAAAGTATTACACAATATCACAGTTGCTGTGAAAGGCAAAAATCTCTCCTCAAAGGGGCAAGTTCTCTCTGCACTGTCTCAGTACCCTTAGGATTATGTCAGTGCCAGGAAGAATGGTGCATTCTAGCAATCACCAAGGTAACTGCCTGTCACTAAGCAGTCAGCTCTCACATTGTCATTCCACGGGCCCGTCCTGTTTAGTAAAGGGAGACATAACCCCATAATCACTTGTCCTAGGAGTGGCAAACCCTGACTGTGACCTGACCCTGATCAGAGTTAGATGTGGAGAAGTTAAAGTGCCCGAGTACAGAGAGGTTGGGGGGTGATGTTGCATTGAGCCACCTGGAAAAAGAGTTTCTCTGGCAAATGTGTAAAGATTTGGTGTCTTACAAGCGGTGGGCCTGGCAGGCTGGACAGGCTGCCGCTCGGGAGTGCCACAAGAACTTCGTAAAAAGATCATGATGTCAGCCCTGGCTGGTGTGGCTCAGTGCATTGAGCACTGGCCCATGCACTGAAACGTTGCTGGTTCAATTCCCGGTCACGTCACATGCCTGAGTTGCCGGCCAGGTCCCCAGTTGGGGATGTGCGAGAGATAACCAGTCACTTTCACACATCGATGTTTCTCTCCCTTCCTTCCCCTCTCTAAAAGTAAGTAAATAAAAGTAAAAAAAAAAAAAAAAAAAAAAAAAAAAAAGATCATGATGTCAGCTTCAGTGTTGACGGTATTGATGTTTTCTGCAGTGGGAAATGTGAATCTAACTTGAAGACCTGGGCATTTCCTAGTGGTGTTGATAGGGAGGACGTGTGGATCTTTTCGGGGAGGTTCATAGGATGACCTTTTCTTCTGCAGCTTGACATGGAGCCCGGCAGTAGGCCACGGGCCGCGGGTTCAGAATTTCGGGCTAGACTGGGATGGCCTGTCCTGTGTGAGTGGATAGCCCTGACTTCCTCCATCTGCACTTTTCTGTAGGTCGACACAGTGCTTTCCAAACAGAATGTGTGCACCACTTCTTTACTTTAATGTGTATTTCTTTAATGCGTAGTCAGCAACCTATGGCCTGGTTTTGTTCTGTCTAGTAGCTTAGAAGTGTTTTTACCTTTTTAAAGGGGTTTTGAAAAAAAGAAGACAAATATGCTACAGATACCATCTGTGGCCTGCAAAGCCAAAAATATTTATTGTATGATCACTTTACAGAATGTTTTCCAATCTGTGGTTCAATATATGTTTGTGTAGTCTCTGCTCCATAGTTGAATAATCTATATAATAGATTCATAGAACCTATTTTATCAAACATTCAAGAATTGCCATGTTCATATTTCAAGTATGACTTGACATCTTCCTCCTACAAATATTTCTTCTGTTTTGAATTTCATTTCTGACAATGAAGTAGAATAGATAATCTAAAATATTATCGCCAAAACACCTAGAAATGCTGGATAACATGGAGCAGTCATTTCTTTAAATGGACAGCTTAGCTATGAAGAAAGTAAGGGAAACTTGCCCGTCATTAGTGCTGGGGCCAACGCTGCAGCCGCCTGGGGAGGGGGGTTGTGAGGGTGGCATAAGATAACTACTACGGGCTGTTTCAGGGGCAGGAAAATCAAAATTAGAAGAAGGGGTTATATATAAGGATTGGTGAGAAAAAATTTTCCCCTTCCTGAAAAAGCACAGGCTTCATAGGACAGTAGTCATTGTAATAATGTTATTAAGAAAATGGGACCGCCCCGACCCACGGGGCTCGGTTGGTTGGGCGTTGTCCTACAATGCAAAAAGTTGCTGGTTTCATTCCTCTTCAGGGCGCAGGCCTAGGTTGCAGGTTCGGTCCCCAGTCAGGGCTCATATGAGAGGCAACCGATCAATGTCTCTCTCTCACATCAATGTTTCTCTCCCTTTCTCCCTTCCTTCCCCTCTCTGTAAAAATAAATAAATAAAATCTTTTAAAAAAAATGGGGCCAAATCCTGAAGAACTAGAACATGAAAGAAGAAAGAAGATAAGGATTTAAACCACACTAGTAAGATTCTTTTATTGTTCAGAAGAACTTAGAGTAAAATTTGGTTGTTAAATATGAAGAAAAATATTTTTAAAGAACCTAAGGAGAATGGGTAACTTCAAAACAGGTAGAAGGGTAAACAAAGTGAGTAATAAAATTATGATTATTACAATAAAAGATAGAAAAGGAATATATATTAAAATATATAATTAGCACAAAATAATAAAGTAGAAATAAGTCCAAATACATTGGTAATCATAGTAAATGGAAGTAATCTAAACTTTCTCGGTAAAAAAGAGATTATCAGTCACCTTTTTAAGGAAAATCCAGTAATACATTCTTTACAGAGATCCTCCAAAGATATGTTACATAGAAAGATAAATGAAACATATTAGGGGAAAGGAATATGTATATTATTTATGTGCACATTATTTATATTTAAGCCCAGAAGTATTATTAAGGATAGAGGCTTACATCATAATGATAAAAGGAACAACTCAGGAAAATACAAAAATTCTTAACATGTATATGCCCAATAATGTAGCATTATAGTAAACTAAGCAAAAAATGGCATTTTCAGGAAGGACTTGATAAATGGTCTAATATGCATGGAGACTTTAAATATACCATATTTAATAATTTATATATCAAGAAGACAAAATATTATAAGATCTGACTTACATAATTGAAAAGTTATATTGTACTTAAAACGGCAAACAATAAGCAAATGAACATAATTTTCAAGCTTATATGAAATTTTTGTGAAATTGACTTGCCACAAAACAGGCGTTTCAAGGATGTGTTATCTAGCTATGGTGCAAATCCATTAAAAATTAAAAATGAAAACATAGTTTTAAAAAAATCAATGCTTAATTAGTAGACACATTTCTAAATAACTCATGGGTCAATGAGAAATTTTTGTTTTACTATGGAAAATGCCAAACATATATGAAAAACACACAGTTGTAAGGTTAATTGTAATGTAAGATGTGTAAAGCAGGAAGTGGAAATTGGGAATGTTGGGTTTGAATTGATACGGGATGAATGTAAAGGGTCAGATGTAAAGAGGTGTAATATTGATTTTAAATAGCCTTTGAAAAGTTGAGGGTAAATATTGCTACTTCTAGCCACACCAAAAGAACAATCATGAAGAGGTATTATTAAGAAGCCAATAGAGGATATAAAAAGGTACACTAAAATATATTAAATGAGCCAGAGAGAAAGCAAGAGAGGAGCAGTAGAGGCACACCGACATGGAAGGGGCAGGACAAGAACAAACACAGCAAGGTAGAGACGCAAAGCCGGAGGACCTGAGTGTACAAGGCAGAGGTTATCCCAGTGGCTAAAAAATCAAGACCTGACCATACGCTGTCTGCCAAAGAGGCACTAAAACAAAAAGACGTGGGTATTTGGAAGCAGAGGGACAGAAAAAGATACAGCATATAAACACTATACTCAAGAAAACTGTCTTGGTAATATTAATATCAGAAAAACAAGGTTTTAAAACAAAAGATGTTGTTTCTGGAACGCTTTCACCTCCTGCTTCTCTGCCTCTTCTCTTCTTCCCTATGTGGAGCCTTAACCTAAACGTTACTCTCCTGAGCAAATCTGCTCTCATCCAAGATCCAGTCCTGTGGGTTCAAATAACACCCTTTATTTCTCCTATTATTATATGTATTCCATTGTGTTTTAAGTGTTTATCTGTCTCCTCTATATTTTAAATACTATTTTGTCTGTAAGATCTGTGAAGAAGGGACGGTGTCTGTAGTTCTGGGTTTTTTGGGTTTTTTTTTTTTACTCCCAGCACTTAGCATAGTCCCCGATGCATCAAAGTTCTCAGTAGATATTTGTTGAATGAATGCATTATGTAATGAATCAGTAAGAAATATGTTAAGACTATAAGTTTATATGCAGAAATGTTTATAACTGCAGAATACAGTCAAAGGAGTTTAAAAGCTATAGGAAAGTTGGAAAAAATCAAAAAGCTTATTTTCTTTTTTAATCTAATGAGTGATTTTCCATTTGTCTACCATAGACCTGAGTTGGTAGTTAAGAAGCTACGATACTATGCAAGATTTATAGTAGTTTGTCTTCTTCTCAACAAAATGGATGTTGTGAAGGATCTGGTGAAGGTAAATGTACTTTAATTAAATATCTAATTATATATGGATAATTTGTTTAAAAATAGATTTAAGGTTAAAATAATTTTGGATATATCATTACAGCATTCAAAGAATTGTACCTTCTGACAAGGGTAATGGTAAAAAATTTTTTTCATCTCTCTTCATATTTCAGACACGCACACTGACCAGAGATAACTGCCGTAACTCTTTGCTTTTATCCCATCAGCATGTTTTACATTTCACCCCCTGTCAGCGGGTGGCTGGGAAATGAAACAAAAGTTAAAATATTTAGTTTAAGAGAAAATAATTGAAATGCTAGATCATGAAAAAGTACATTACATAATGTTTTACAAAGGTATTGTGAAGGAATTTTGGTTTTTTCATCCTGTTAGGATGTCCACATCACTCTGTCCTTCATTAACTCAGGCAGTTAAGAGTTAGCGGCACTTGGGACGCACATACTACTTCTTATGACTGAAGACTGCATTCTGGCTGCACTCTGCATTCAGGGGGTGGTTTTGGTGGCACACGTCTTGATTTTTGGGACTCAAGTACAACATGATGGTTTTGACAAGTCCTCCTCCTCTGTCTTCTTCCACTTCTAGTTACTATGAATGATTTCCAGATAAAACCAGTATGATACGAAGCCAAAGAAAATCAGCTAGACATTATTAATTTTTGTGCATGGTAAACATTTGGGGTTTTACCTTTCAGAGTTTTCTATTAATAAAGTAATTGCTGCTGGGGCACCGACTAGGTATGGGTTGCACAGGATCTCTGTGAAGATCTTATTGATGTGTATCATTCTGGAGTTTTTGATTTTGTGATAAGTCCATGTAGTTTTCATTCTTTTAGGTTATAATTGGGACTGTATTTGATAATAATCAAACCTCTTAACTATGTCAGTTTCTGTCAGGAATATGGTACAATAGAGCTATCTTTTTCTCTTTTTTTTATACAATCATTTTCTTTGTGATATTTTAAAATCAGGAATTGTCCGATGAAATTGAGGATTATACTCACCGCTTTAATACTGAAGATCAAGTGGAATGGAACCTCGTGCTTCAAGAAGTCGCAGCTTTCATTGAGGTCAGTTTTTGACCAAAGGTTGTCATAGTTATGGAGAAGTAAATTTCTCTGTGGTCTGCATTTTTACTCTGTGTACATCAAGAAGGAATAACTTACTATGCGATGTTTTGCCTTGGTTGTCAACTACTGCCTGCTTTCCTCCCCAGGCGGACCCTGTAATGGTACTGAATGATGACAATACCATTGTTATCACATCGAACCGCCTTGCTGAAACAGGAGCCCCGTTGCTGGAACAGGGCATGATTGTGGGGCAGCTGTCTCTGGCTGACGCGCTCATTATTGGTAATTGTAATAACCAGGTAAAGAATTGTGAAGGAGCTATGCTGAAAATCTACGGAAAACTAGTGCTTTTGATTATTACAGGCTTTTTATTTCCTTGTAATATCCTAACATCCATTTTTGAGGAAACGTTAAATAAATTATGCTGTGTCCATATATGGACTATATTATAGATATTTAAATAGTTTAGAAAGAATTTTTAATCACAAGGATACTCATGATGTGGTAAGTGAAAATAAACTTGTTACAGAGTTATGGAAACAGAATTATTTCATGTGTTAAAATGTCTACACACACACACACACACACACACACACACACACACACACACACACACACCCCACCCACCCACCCCCCGCCAAGGAAAAAAGACCAAGAAGAAATTTACCAAAATCAAAAAAGGTTTATCTCTTAGTAAGCAGACTTATAGATGTTTTTTATTTTCTTCTTTACAACTTTCTAAATCTGTTTATTTTATAATCAGAGAAAAAGGGGAGAAGGGGTTATTTTTAAGTACATGTGTCAAAAGCAAATTTCAAATACGTTTTTCCTGACAGAATAGTCCCATGATGATGATTTAATGTACTAGATATGTAATTTACTAGAAATTATGGGATATTTGAAAGTTGCCCATGAATACATTTTTCTGTATGCATTATTTATACAAGTTTTAATTTTGAAGCTTTCCTTATACTTATCATTTTTAGTACTAACTTTTTCTAGTGCTTTTCCATCTTTGGCTTTTATAACCATCAATTCACAAATTTCTAAATTAAAACATTTTGATTTAAATACATTGTTGCCTACTTGAAGTTCTATAGAAGTATTATTCAAAATAGAAAAGGATACAGTTTTAAACATTGTGTAGTACCAAAATGCAATGAAGAAGCTATAAAATATGGGTCACAGCAATATTTTAGCGTCGGTGTTTTGCCAAAAGTTAGCATGTTTTATAGGACTTAATATAGGTTTCTGTGTTTACTTGACTCCTTTCATTTGTTTCTAAAAGCACCTGAAGAAATGGATGGATTGATAGGAGTACAGATAGATGGCGAGCTATGTGATAAAACAAATATAGAAAAATGTTAATGTTGGAGGATTTAGATGATAAGCTTATGGGTGTCACTGTGTAATTCTGTCAATCTTCTATCTTTTGAAATTTTTTATAATAAAATATTGGAAAAGAAAAGACCCAATGTCATTAAGTACACATGAATGTCAAGAGTAATAATATGATTAAGACTTCCAGGTCCGCTTTCTGCATTAACAGGCAGGGTTTGTTGACCTTGCAGGTTAAGTTCAGTGAATTGACTGTTGACATGTTCCGGATGTTACAAGCCCTGGAAAGGGAGCCAATGAACTTAGCTTCCCAGATGAACAAGCCAGGAATGCAGGTACCTTCTCCCCGCCCCTGCAGTTTCGGTGACACCCCTGCTGCTTTGCTCCCCATGGAGTGCCGTTATCCAGCACATGACATGAATGTGAATCAAGAACTCTCTTGATGGAATACAGGAAATATAGATCAGCGTAATAATAGTAACAAAGAGACACTTGATTTAGAGAGTAGTAAAAATAGACATCGATAAGTCATCTGTCAAGTAGAGCTTGTGTGTTGTTTTCTGTGTGTAAATACAGGAATCAGCTGACAAGCCTACCAGGCGAGAAAACCCGCACAAGTACCTGCTCTACAAACCCACCTTCAGCCAACTGTACACATTCTTAGCAGCATCTTTTAAGGTATATATGATCCGGTGTATTTTACTATATGGGGAAAGCGTGTCCTCAATGGAATCTGAGAGTCACTCTTCTCTTGAAATACTTGAGTCAAGAATTTAGGTAAAATAAGAAATTGAAACTGCCTTTAGAATATCCTAATCATAGCTATGTTCAGAACGGAAATTGCTTATGATGCTCTGAATGGTTTCTACCATTAATTAATGAGACTGTTGCTTCATTATTCTCCTCCCTCTGGGTTTTTATTACTAAACTACTTTAGGCATAAGACTCAATGCAGAACTAAGACAGGAGCAGGTTGCATAGGCCTGTTCTATGTTCAAGCAGCTCAGGGAAATACTTTGGTCACTGACGAAGCTATGAGGAGTGAGCAGGGAGTTCCTCCCAGAGTTTCACTGAGAAAGCCATAGATGGGAGTTTGTCTTTCAGACGTATAGTTTGGATCTTTACTTCACCATTTCAGGTTTTCCAGAGAACATTTTCTAAGCGATGGGCGTTTTTGAAGCACAGAATGTCTTGAAAATTTTGGCAATAGTTGTAGATTATAGATTAATAAAGAATCTTTGCTGTGTAGACAGAAGTTGGAACCAGCAAGAGTGACTCTTCTCTTGGAACCAAGAGACAATGATATGTTAGATTAGGTTCTTGTTTTCCCCACCCTTTTAAGTGTCACAAGCTTTAAGTAAAACTGTTGTTTTCCCTGTTTGTTGTTTTGTATATGTGCTCTTTTTTAAATTTCAGGAGCTGCCTGCCAATAGCGTGCTCCTGATTTACCTGTCAGCCACTGGCGTTTTCCCCACAGGTCGTTCTGATAGTGAAGGTACAATAAAGGAATGCTCCTGTTGTGAGCAGGGCTTGAATTCTCTGTATTTTCTACAAGACGATGGCCCACAGCCCACAGACCATCTCCAGCTTTCTCGAGAGGCTGCCAAATTGGAAACCTTGTCTATTTGTTGAATTGGCAATCTTACTGATACCCCAGGCTATTTTATTTGCTGAAATAGTATACATTGAAGTCCACAAATCATCAGCAAATTCACATACTAAATGTATGCCTCACTATCAGATTTGCCAAAAGCACATACATATATATGTGTGTATATATATATGAAATAACCAAGCCTAATGGCCTACTTCACATTGTTGAATTTTTCTGAGCCTTTAGTGCTTTAGGCAATCTGGTTAGTGGCTTCATTGTGGCTGAAAGTCTTTGTAGAAATCAGTACACTTTTGTAACTGTGAAAGTTCAAGTCCTTGTCATGATTTTGTTTTTTGTCCTTTCTTTATTTGGTTTTTATGGATTCATCCTGTAGAATATTGGGATGCTGTTTCAAAATAAATACTTAAAACTGTCCAGAATATGTGAGTCCAGAATATATGAAATTGGTCAGAATAGGGATGTAAATGTGCCCTTTAAATCTCCGTCTGGACACACAAAATTTTTTTTTAACATCCTTAACATTTTCCTCCTCATCTGTTTGTGAAATTTGCATTCCTTTATACAGTGCATGTCCCTGCCATCTTCCTGCATGACCTACAGATCCTCTTAAAGTGTTAAATGAAAACAAAACAAAATAAACCTCAAGTCTTTTCAATGCAGTGATGTTTTTAAGGGATAAAATATAACAGCATTAAAAGTGATTTGAAGTCATTAACTAATTTTTTTGTAGTAAAGTTAGAATTTTATTTATAAACAATTATTTCCATCTCGTATCTACTGTTGAATCAGATTTTCTGGGCCCCTGCTTAATACATTGACTTCCTGTTTTACTCTTTCAAACTACAATAGTACCACAATAGGTAAATGAATAGTCCTTTGAGAGAGATTGTTCCCAACACCCCTCAGTTGCTGTTCCATTTAGACGAAAGTTTAACTAATATGACCAGTAGGCAAAGGCAAACTTCAAAACTGGAACTCCTGCAGTTGCTATGGATTTTCTCACATGCTGAAATTTGGCAATTCTTTTTTAAAGATTTCATTTATTTATCTGTAGAGAGAGGGGAAGGGAAGGAGAAAGAGAGGGAGAGAAACAGCACTGTGAGAGAGAAACAAGTTGCCTCTCATACATGCCCCGACTGGGGACCAAACCCACATTCCAGGCGTGTGCCCTGACTGGGAATTGAACCAGTGACCTTTTGCTTTGTGGAACAACACCCAACCAACAGAGCCATACCAATCAGGGAAACAATTCTTTTTATAAAAGGGAAGATTTTGTCAGTGAGAATTTTCAAGTTTTTTACAAATTTTTCCTAAATTTTACAATTAATGGCTTGCTTAAATTTATACTTAAGAAATTATTTGGACTTCAGTCTGCAATTTGTTACTTACATAACTTTGTTAAGCCTGAGATTTCCATTTTGCTTGAAAAGGAAAGATCATTTTTAGCACCCCAGATCTCCATCCCTTATCTCCATCCCTTCTTTAACCCCGAATAATGGGATGCATTGGATTATTGTTTTGTTTCTCATTATAGTGTGTTTGAAGAACTGATGAATAATTAAGTGATATTTTAAAAATATTGAAATAGGCAACATGCTGAAATCATTTAAATACTGCATTAAACAAGAATGTTAAATTTTAAAATAATTAAAATGTTTTGTAACTATCTTCTACTTGTATCAGTGAGAGATTCACACAATACCTTTGAACCTCAGAACAATGCTACTCTCCAATTGAAGTCTAGGATTCTTCCCTTTGTTTTCATAGGTCCCTATGATTTTGGAGGGGTACTTACTAATAGTAACCGGGATATTATAAATGGAGATGCCATCCACAAACGAAACCAATCCCACAAAGAAATGCACTGGTATGTATTCTAGTATCTCCTTACTACAAAAATTATAGTTCTCTCTTACAAAATATAAAGTGAAACAGGGACTTTTTCTAGTACTAGAAATGTTCTCTTAGGCTGCTATTAAAAACACTTACTTGGATCCAGCAATACTTCCATCTCTGACTATCCTAGGAAATTAGAATTTTGAGCTGATATATATATATATATTAAATTTTCGTTGAGTATCAGTTATATGTCAGGCACTATTCAATTACTGGATATATGTCAATGAACAAAATTACATTTAAGTTGAAGGAGACTATAAATATATACATACATAAATAGTATATCAGGACATGATACATGTTAATATCAATACAGACTTTTTAATATAAGCTTCTGCTGGTATGATATAGCAAAAATGAACTTAGTTATGATTTCAAGTAGAAATCATCTATGAAAGTTGCTCTTTTTCTAGATACAACATATTCACTGGTTGAGACACTATTGGCTCTATAATTTCTCTGGTTGAGAGATAGTAATCTGGTCATTAGGGAACTGGCCTTGTTTGAAACTGCACGTTTCTGATAGCACGTTACATAAAAATGTTAACTGTTCATATTAAAGAGTAGGGAAGGGAGGACAGAGAGGGAGGCGTTTCAAATTATATTTATAATAGCTGACAATCCTCCAAGCCATACGTTGATGCTACATTGACCTGGGTTGTAAATGACTTATATTAGAAAAACTTGTACTTGAAATTTATTAAGATTTGATGACATTGCTCAGTGACACATTATTTTATGTATTTATATTTACATTTACATCCATATTTATATGTACACACATTGTCCTCTAAGGTGGAAGGAGCATGCACACAAAAATTGTGACTTGTTTGGCATATCAGGATGATGCTCTGACCAACTGACCCACCCGGCCAGGTCCGTGACCTTCTTTAACAGTGGCTTTCAAGTACATGCTACTGGACTCTTAGCCTTAAGGTCTGGTAGGTCTTCTGTGGGCCAGTGAATCTATATGTTTAAGAAACACCCAGCTGATTCTGATAAAATGTCCAGAGGAAGCAAAGAATAGTAAAAAAGAGAAGCCCTATTATTGTCTGCAACATTAAGATGCAGCTTGAAATATTAAAAAATCTTTAAAATAGGTATAGATTTTGAAAGACTCACTGAAATACTAATCTGGCTATGTTATTACAGCTTTGTTTTCAAAACATGTTTTCAAAGGGGTTTTTGAATACTAAGCAAGTACCTAAACGCAGACCTCAGAGATCTTCACGTCGTGTGTTTGGTCCGTCCTTACATATACTGTAGCCTTCTCTCTAGGTTGGGGATTCTTGAGTAGTAATTATCTCCGAAGTTTTTTCCCAATAAAACTTAATGTAGACATTCTTTGTCTTTTGCTTAATTAACCTTTGTTTTTCTCTCAGTGCCATGATGAAAAGGAGACGTGAGCAAACCAAACTGAAGAAGAATTCCAAGACTTGGCAGGATGGTTACTCAATTACTTGTTGTTGTTGTTGTTGTTTCCCAGCCTCCACCCCGGAGACCTCTACCCCTTCACGCGGAAGCCCCTGTTCATCATCGTGGATTCCTCCAATAGCGTTGCCTATAAGGTGAGTTCCGTGAGCGCCAGGGCGCATGTTAGACATTATAGTGCCACCCGAGGTGATTAATCATGACTCTTGTCTTTTTATGTTGCTTCATTTTATTTCATTTTACACAGTTTGTATTTAGTCTTTCTTTTCTTTTGAGGTTGTGCATGCTAGTCAGGATCTGGTGCTATGAATAGAAACAAGAAGAAAACGCATGAATGGACACTCAGTGGAAAATAATAAATCCTCCTGCAGGAAAAAAAAAATCAAGATTTCCAAGATCTCTGGTGGAAGGTTTATTTTTGTTATATAACCCAGAATAATTTCCTTTTATAGAGGTAGACATAAATGGGCACATTTTATTTTCTAGTTTCCAGGCTTTTTCCCCCATCTACACACTGAGCTGCTATGGTTTAAATGAAATTTCTATCCCATGGTTTACAGTTACCATCATTGACTAGCAACACGAATTGTTTTAAGTGCACTTATTTTAAAAATTTGTGACAATAAGTAAAAAGAGATGGCCCTGAATCCTGAAATTAGTTTAACAGGCATCTAACTTGAAAATCCTTTGTTTTGTATTTTGCTATTGAAGCAATGTTTTCCAAGGATTGTGTAAAGAATGTCAGCAGCAAAACACTTTAAGGCAAGATATTAGAATTCACACTGTAGTAATTTACAGGAAAATGAAAACAGAATTTTTCAAGTCCTTTGTATGTGGTTGGAATATTTCATTAGTGAACAATACGTTCAGAAATATGCTGGGATCTGCATATGAAAACTGCCAATGAAAACTATTTTTGTTGTGGTTGTTCGTCTAATTAGGTGGAGAAGCAAACATTAGATTTATTTCAGGAGAGCAATGGAAATGTAGCCATGAGAGCTGACCCCAAGCATATGTTTTCCATCTAATTTTCATGTTTAGTTTCACTTTTTAAAAGTCTGAATTCCAAGAGCCTCTGACCCATCCTAAACTTGTCAGCGTATTTCTTTCTACCTAGTTTGTCATATTTAACATTACAGCTTTGATTTTGGGGAAAATTAGCTGTATACTTTTAAATCATGTGTGTGCTGGTGTTGTTTTTAATCTTCTTTGATGGGGTAAGAGGTTGCTGAAGGGAAAGGTTTGTTAGCTCTCCCATTTAAACTTATGAAACCAAAGGAGTCCAGGCATTTGTGTCTTCACAGGATTCAAAAGAAGCATTCTGTGTCCTTGTCAGTGAGTGAGAAGAGATCGTTTGCTGTAGTTTAAGGATGTGGCAGGATTTGTTGATACACCAGGTTAAGTGTATTGCTTATGTTCCAGCATGCATAGGGAGTACTTTAGCAATCTAGTAATTTCTCTCAATTTAATTGGATATTATTTAATAGCCCTTTTTATAATCTCAAAAAGATCTTTGATTACATGTGCATGCTATTTCCAGAGTGCATTTTGGATGTAGAATGAGTACTGGATGCTGATTTTAAAAAGAAACACCATTGTGCCTACTTGGAAATGTATTTACTTAATTATGTAACATGATTTAATTCTAGATTTTAATATGGTGACACTCAGGATAACAATGGAATAGCAGAAAGTTTGTGTGTGTGTGTGTGTGTGTGCGCGTGTGCGTGTGCGTGTGCGCGCTTGCATTTGATGGCACATGCAGTGTAACTCGTCTAAAAAATTAAATTGTCCAGAACATACTGATCTTCAGAAATGAAATGGGGAGCCCGTTTGCAGTAGGCAAATCAAGAGTATGGCACAGGCCAATTTAGTCTTTTTAAAAATTCAAACTATTGAATGCCTCTAAATCAAGTAAGAGTCTGTTAATTAATATACGAAGGTGTCTGACATTTACTTTTTCCACAAAGCATGGGTAAAAATCTTAAACTACCATTTTGCAAGCTTCTAATGAAAAGGAGAGAGCTGTGTATCCGATATATGAGTATTATTTGAGTTCCTACTTTGCTATGTACGTCTCATAGCTGTGAATGTTTTATAAATATGCTTTCTAAGTGCTTATCATATATAAACACAAATATTTCATGTATATTTCTTCATTTAAATATTACATTTTTATTTTTATGAGAGTAACTTGTGCATATAGTGGTTTAAAGCTATAGCTCTCAGCTCTCTCTGTGCATCAGAAACATTCACGGCACTTTTCAAAACCCCTTGTACCAGGACCTTAACTTCTGTTTCTGATTCACTGGGCATGGGGGGGTCAGATGTGGGTATAATTCCAGTGATTGTCAGAGTGAGAACTACTCAGTCAACAAGTTTGACCAGGTGTTACTAAAAACAGCAGTTTCCTGCTCTTGCCCTATCCCTATTTGCCTTTTTCCAAAGGCTATCATTTATATCTTTTTTGGCTGATTATTTTGGTATTTAACCATCATTTTTCTAAATAGCATGCTGGTATTGATATTTCTTGATTCTTCAGTTTTAGGCATTATCTTCTGATATTCCATTATGGAAGAGAAATTTAGCTCTCTTTCCTCTTCCTAGCCCCAGATCACATTTCTGCCTTTTACATCCTTTTATTCATACAATAAACTTGTAATTTTGATTCACTAAATATTTAGTGCTTATATTATTGTGACTATAAAGTGCTTTTAACAGCTAAGTCACATAGCAAACTTTTCCTTTCCTATGCAACTTCCTACTTTTCCTGGAGCCAATAACTCTTTATCTTTGTTCCTTGTTTTCTTCCCTCGCTGAACCTATCACTGATTCAACCCCAATCTCCCCACCAATTGTCTAAATCCTTTTCAGATTGGCCACTTGCATCAGTCTCTCAATTTTGTCTTCGTGATGAACGGTTTCCCGGAGCCTCTGCGCCGGTGCCCTCTGCCTCTGCTGCGCGGTTCTCATGCCACAGCCTCTTCTAATCATCTCTCTCCTGTGTTGGAGCCCTCTTTCCTCAATCCTGAGTCTTTTTCTGGGACATTGACTCTCTCATTTTCGTGTAGCACCTCCTATAGTAGCTTCCTGAGAAGGGTGAACATGAGATAAAACATTTGAAATCTAACTCTTGGGTAAATGTCTTTAATTTACCCTCACACTTCAGTGATGGCTTGGGAATAGATTAGAAATACTTTTCCTTCAAAATTTGCAGGCGTTGCTCCATGGCTTTCTAGCTCTCAGTGTTTCTTAAGAAGTACAAGGCATTCTGATTCTGGATTCTTGCATGTGACCTGTTTTCAGTCTCTGGAAGCTTATTGGGTCTTTACTTTGTCCCCATTGTTTTTGTTTGCTTGTTCGTTTTTTTGTTTTGTTTTTTCATGGAAGACTAGGCAGGTGTTTTTAAAAATTGAATTTATTGGAGTGACATTGGTTAAAGTCACCAGTGTTTTTCAACTTTTTAACAGCGTTTCCTTGTCTGGGTTTACTTTTAACTGTGGTGCTTGGCATGTACTTGATAAGTCCTTTCATTCTGGAGATGTGCCCATTTTCTTGAGTTGTTCCATTCATTTCCTCTCCTCCATTTTCTCTATATTATCTTTTGGCAACTTTTGTCATTTATATATTAGATCTTCTGGTCTAGTCCTCTAATTTTCTTGCTCTTTATTTTCCATCTTCTGGTCTTTTTGCTCTTTAGAAAATTCCCTTGCATTTATCTTCTAATCCTCTTATTGAGATTTTTTTATTCTTTAGATGTTTCTTTCATAAAAATATAGATGTATATAAAACACATAGGCATATACATGTATAATTATCTTGGTTTTTACCCTGGTTGAACTATATGGGGGTGGGGAAGGTGCCTGTCCAGGAAGTATCCCGCTATGTAATATGAAAAATAATATTGAAGAAGATACAAAATACAAGAAAAATTATATACAGGACAATAACGCCTCAGTCCCCTTCAAAGTAGGCACCTTGGGACCTCACACAGTTCTCCCAATTGCCATCAGCTGCTGTACCGTATTTTCCTGAATCTCATCGACAGTTTGGAAGTCTCTTCCCTTTCAAAGATGATTTACTTTATTTATTTATTTAAGACTTCATTTATTTATTTTCAGAGAGGAGAAGGGGGGGAGAAAGAGAGTGAAACATTGATGTGTGAGAGAAACATCGATTGGTTGCCTCTTGTTCATCCCTAACTAGGGACCCGGTCAGCAACCCAGGCATGTGCTCTGACAGGGAATCAAACAGGTGATCTTTTGGTTCACAGGCTCAATCCACTAGGCCACACCAGCCAGGACTCAAAGATGATTTTAGTTTTAGGAAAAGCCAGAAGTCACAGGGCGCCAAATCTGGGCTGTATAGGGGGGCTGAGTCACCTGGGTGATTTCATGTTTTGCCAAAAAAAACTCTGCAGAAGACGTGATGCATGAGTGGGTACGTTGTCAGGTGGTGAAGCTGCTAATCACCAGTTGCCCAAAGCTGCAGCCTTCTGAATCATCCGAATAGTTTCTTAAATCATCCAAATAGTTTCCATAGAGGAATGTTCAAGTTTAATGCAAAATTTGATGCCGATTTGTTGCTCTACTTGCTCAGTCATTTTGAATGTGATGGCCACACAGTACACATGCTCACTCAACTTGTCTATTGTCCCCACTGATGAGTGCAGTGAAGTCATCACTGCTCATGCATGCGCATTCCAGTCCACTCCACTTGGCTGCCATTGATGCGCAAACTATTCTTATTATATTAACAATGGCTGGCCTTTTTCCAGACAGACCTCATACTCTCTTACCTTTGAGACTATCAATGATCATTTGAAAAGTTCTCCCTGCTGTTTCCTTCATGTTACTGTGTTTCTGTTTGTTTTTGCCTGTCTGGATCATATGAGAGACCTTCCTCAGAATATTGTCATTCTTGCTTATCTGCTCAGATTTTAGAGTGGAGGCTAGCTAGCAACATGGTCAGAACCTCTGAGGTTGTGGACACGCCTTCTCACACTGAGCGGCTCAGTATGACAGTCTGGGTAGGCCTGTTAATTGTGTAGTCTCCATGTCTCTTTAGATGTGTCTTCATGGTATAATCATATTCCGCAGAGCAGCCTCAACTATTCTGCCTGGAATAGAAAGGTCTG